ATAATTGCTTCGATTCAGTTACGTATTGCTAAAAAAGAGATTTGGTATGTTAGTATACGACATAAATTGGGATTGATTGACGTATTCAATTGTTTTCGGTCACTTCCTGTTTCACCGGAAAATGACTTTTGATTTTAAATGACACCCTCGGTATTATTTTACTTTATTCGATAGAAAATAAGAATCTGAATAGAATGACATATCATATGTCAACTTTTGACATTTTTCGCATATGGTTTTATTTAAAATTATAACTTGCGGTTCGTAACGAAAATTTGACTCGAAATACCAAGTGTATGTATTATCAAATTATTCGTAAAAAATGCGTTTTTCCAAATATGCTAATGAACACCCTCGCTCCATTTGAAAAAATTGAGATATGATTAAAAAATACGATTTGAGCATTTTTAACTGGCCAGGATACGTAACACGTAAAAAAACGATCAAATTTATTTTTCAAAGGCCTATGATTAGAGGTAGTGTTTAACATGGCCATATGGCACTCTAGATTGAATTTTAAAAGAATAAAAAAAATTATTAAGCGAGAATGTCAAAAGTTGACATATGATATGTCATTCTGTTCAGTATGACATTTTCTATCGAATAAAGTAAAAAAAATACCGAGGGTGTCATTTAAAAATCAAAAGTTATAGTCACCCAAGTGGCATAAATGGCCAAGTGGCATAATAATTAATGCTTAAAATGGTTATATAGAGTGCTATATAACAATTCATGATAACTATGTAGTATTTTTTAAGTGCTTAATAAACCCTAATACGATAGTTATAAACACGCGCAAAATAGGCGCAGGTTTATAAAACAATATACTTATTTAGAAGTACGTTAAAAACTCTCCGATAACACTTACAAAATAATATTGAGTACATTATAAAATATTTATAAAACTGTTTTATAAAAGATTTATAAATATTTTAAAAATAACATATTTGTCTCAGTTAAAATATTTTTGTAGCATACATCTGCATTTTTATTTTTTAGTTATCAAGAATAAAATTATAATATCGTGTATTTATAGTGACCAAGATAAAACTGATTTTAAAATTGCAAAGTACAAATATATTCTATTTAAATGACAGATATGGCTAATTTAAAGAAAGATGTAAATTGTATAAAAAGTATATCGCCTAAAATGCTCCAGGAGTCAAATTTTCCTGCGGAGCAAATTTTACTGATATTATATATCCATATTTGTGGAAATATTTTAAGGCTCTTTCATTTTACTAAGATTTTGCAGTTATAATAAATATTTAATTTTTAGGAAATTACTGCAAAATTACCTGTAAACTGGAAAATCGACATTATAAAATATCCGATATTATTGGAAACTAATTCGTTTCTTATAAAACGTTTATTTTGAATTAAATTTCGATTATTTTGTGTTGCAAATCCCGACTCGATAAAATGGCCAACATACAGTCGTCCAAATTCAACATAAAATAATGGCGTTGACTAACAAAACATTTTTGTTGCTCAGGGAGCAGTTATACAATTAACTTGTTTTACAATGATGCTATACGGAACATATTTGTTTTATTACTTAAAATAATCTCGGCAAAATACAATTAAATTCGTCTATATCTTCCGGTGCTGTCACATTTACAACAATAAAATTATAGACGTGCGTTTTTAAATTCGCTAGTAGGTTCATCGATACTTAAAACATAGGAAAATATTTTAAAAATTTAAAATTTTTATCGATTTTTCTACGGCAAATAATAAGGAAAAAATATATAATTAAACACAAATTTGACTTTCAGTTATACTTGCAGACTTTTTTTTCTGGCAACATTGGATGACTTTCTATCCCTCACCTTTTAGATACGAACGCCACGGAATAATAACGTAGGGTTTTAATATAGCAATATTGTTGCACTTCACGTGTTATCCTGCTATTTAAAAACCAGATTATTTTTTATATGTTATTTATTTTTTGTTAGCTACACTTAGACACAAATATGTTTAATATCAACAATAAAATCTTCCAGTTAGAAAGACTTGACATTTTAAGTTTTAGAGATAAAATCACAATTTTAAAATATATTTTAAACTCTGACCAAAACCAAAGTTTGAGGTTAGTGCTATAGTATGTTTATAAGGTTTCCTAAATAACATTTTTGTATTTGGAGAAACACTTTTATTTTTTAATAGCTTTATAAGAATTTTAATTCGTTTCTTTAACAGCAATTATAAAATTGTTTTCTTAGAGTAGCGGTCGCGACTAAATTATTGCGAAGACCAAATTGTTTTATAAATCAATTGTAGAAACAGCTATAAAACATGTCGATAATGTTTTAATAAACTAAAATGCATATTTTATAGCTGTTTTGTAAATATTTTATAATTGTTTTAAATTATATTATAAATCAATTATATCTAGCTCAAGCATAAATAGTTGTATAAGATTTGTTATATAAACGTTCCTGAGCATATTAACGAATATATTTATAAAAATGTTTTATAAATTTGTCGCCAAAACACCTATATAACAAAATAATAAAACACATTTGTCTCTATGATTAATTTGTATTCTTTGCGTTTATTATATAACAATTCAGTGTATGAGATCGCTTTAATAAATCGTATATAAAACACTTCACTCTCATAATAATGTATTGTGCTACTTGGGCATTTCCGGTGAAACAGGAAGTGACCGAAAACAATTGAATACGCCAATCAATCATAATTTATGTCATATACTAACATACCAAATCTCGTTTTTTAACTGAAAAAATATAAAGTTATAGGGGTAACCCACTTTTAAGACGCTCCCGGTATGTCTCCACTGAGCGTTATTTCTATTCCAACTTAACAGGCAATTTTTTTTCGTAGTATTTTATTTATTTGTATTTACATAAAAGAATTGTGGAAATGTCGCCTATATCATACCGACTAAATCATACCATCAATATCTGGTTTATAATTACATTGGCGAGACACCTTGTAGTGTATTTAGTAAGCTCAATAAGGTGTCCAGTAATAACAAAGTAAGAGGTCGGGTTAGGTTAGGAATCGAAATCGCGAGAGGGACATTTAACAAAATGCGAAAAAATATACTATGCAACCTGTCCCTCAACGTCCGCACTAGAATCAGAATCCTGAGATGCTACGTGCTTTCCCCTTCTGTATGGAGCAGAGGCGTGGACCCTTACCGACGCAGCATGCAAGCGTGTGGAGGCATTTGAGATGTGATGCTATCGGCGCATGCTTAGGATTTTGTGGGTGCATCGCGTGTCAAATGAGACTGTACTATACCGCATCAACTAGGAGTTGGAGTTTCTGGTGAATGTCAAACGCAGAAAATTGGAAAATAGAAGGCAGAAGATCAGCGGGACGCAGACGAATATTGTGGTTTCGAAATCTACTAACATAGACCGGAATGACGTCAGCAGCTTTGTTCAGAACGGCAGTGAACAAAGTAATATGGATCAATGTGATAGCCAACATCCAAAGAGGAGGTACTTTAAGAAGAAGAAGAGGTCGGGACTGATTGCAGTGAAGGCAGAAAACATCCCAAAAGGCAGAAAACATCCCAAAATCCATTACGGTATTTCTGCCGAGGAACAAGGGGAATGACACCACCTACCTGCTGAGCCTTATCCAGGCTCAGAGAACTCTAATGTCGGGAAATCTACATAGAGTTGACGAGTCATCAACTCGAGGGAGGAAGATGATGTCATGTCCTCACAATAGGAATTGACCTCAAATCCAAGTAGACAATAGAGAGGGATATATCTTCTATTATAGATTCGGGACAACACCGGTATCAAGTCTGAGGAGAAATCAAGTTAAAGAGGTGGAGACAATGGAGATAGATTCTCCAGCCTCCCCCTCACGGGTACCTGTGGAAAGGTAACCTCCTAATATTCGGAGGAGGAACATCTGTTGTCAGAGAAAAATGGGAAATACCCTGTCCCACCTACAACATGTATTATGGGTTATAGACTGTATGTATAGTTATAACTCAAGGAAGAGGGACACAATAGATCAAATTAATGTCGCGGTGATTAACCCCTCCACCCACTCATTCTATATTCTACTTTTATGCAAAGCGGTAAGGTTTAGGCTTCTCTGTCCTTTATTTCTATAAAGTTTAAAATATGTAACTTAAATCTCGATGGAGAAACAGAGCTTTTTTCGAAACGATCCTGTATACTTATTTCGGGACATTTTAAGCTGTCGCGCGTCAGTATTTGTCAGAAATGTTGACGTGAAAAATTCCCCATCGACTATGTTTTTCTTTTTACTCGTTTTTACACTATGCTGGTGCTTTTCTTGTTTTAGTTCGGTAAAAGGTTTCGTGTACCCCATGTGGGGCGAGGGTCACAGCCAGAAACAACAAGGACTGGAAAAAAACGATGACGGGTGGGTCGCGGAATTTTTAATGGACTATTTCGTGCTGCCACTTAAAGACGGATTCTGCCACGTCTGTTCCAGCTTCCAGGAGGTCTACGAATGTATAGTGCGATCCGAATTATTCGAGTAAGTCTATATTTTTATTTTTATATTTTTATTTAACCTTTAATAATTTAAACCAAAGAGAATAGAACCATAAATATGTTATTTATTTATCTATACTATCATTTCTGACAATAACTCTGCATTATTTTTTTTTATTTATTTATATACTATTTCTAATTTATGTTTATAAAATAAAGTTTCTTCTATCTACACTCAGATGCAAAAAAACCGCAACGGAGAAATTTTTGGTCAATTTTAAAGTTAAATTTCTGTTATTTTTAGCCCTATTTTCATGAATTATTTAGCAAGCTGTACATAATTATATAAACTTTAATTTGTAAAGTAAGTTTTTATAAACTTTAGTATTTGGCATATTATACAGAGTTAATCGAGGGGTTGTTTTTTTACCCTAGCTTTAAAACACCCTGTGCAATAATTCCGTGTGTGAATTTTCTTAATATATAATTTTACGGTCAGGACCATGACTCCTGGGCATTTTGTTTTTTGATTATTGTCAATACATGCTTTGGTTAATTTTTAAGAGCGAAATGAACTGATTACGATCAAATTGCAATTTTTTTTAATTATTATTACTTTTTGATAACATTCAAATCATTACTTATTAATAACGATGACAGAACTAATGATATTAAATAAAACATCTGTAATATACTCAAGTATACTAACAGAAAAAAAAATTGTAAAAAATACCCTAATAATGTGATTCAGGCTGGATATATCATATTGCGTTATGTTTTCCCCGAGGTTTTCCCATTCTTCTTTAAAGACCAAGCAAAATTCATTTACTGAAACTGATACTGCTTCGCAACCTTTTACCCTCCCGCCAAGTATTTGCCAAACGTCGAACATGATGGGCAGTTCATAGTAGTATATAGTTAATAATAGTAATAAACACAATAATCACCAAAGCCGCCTACCAAAAAAAATAACTTCAAAAAAGAAATGATAATTATTGAAAAAATTGCAAATTGTTGGTGGCTCATCTCGCACTTAAAAATTAACCAAGGCATGTATTGACATGATCCAAAAACCAAAATGCTCAGGAGACATGGTTCTGACTGCAAAATTATATTTTAGGAAAATTTACACACGAAATTATTGCACAGGGTGTAAAGTTAGGGTAAAAAAACAACCCCTCGATTTACCCTGTATAATATGCCAAATACTAAAGTTCATAAAAACTGAGTTTACGAATTAAAGTTGATGTAATTATATACAGCTTGCGAAAATATTCATGAAAATAGGGCTAAAAATAACAAACCAACACTTCAAATTTGACCAAATATTTCTCTATTCTCTGCGTTTTTTTGCATCTGAGTGTATATTTTTATAACATTTCTTTCTCATAGAAAGTACTAAACCTAGAGGTGTACATTGACGACATAGTATATGCAATTGAATACAAACTAATATCTTTAATAATTAGTGTAGTGAAGAGCGACACTGATCTTGGTCTTGCATTTTTTTCGCGTTTTTCTCTATCGTCCTTGACTATCTCCTAAACAAACAAGAACAAACCCGAAAACTCTCACAGAAAAGCTCAGTAGTTTTGGGATTTGGATTAGTCCACAGTTACATTGTGTAAATTATCAAAATTAAAAACAATGTCAGTCCAAGAAAATTTCAAAAAAAATTATACTTCTTTGAATTTTTTTAATACTAGAAATACTAAATTTATGGCTGTTCGCAGAAACAACATTCCGAACACCAGAATTTACTTAAATGAACAGGTCATGAAGCAGGTCACACAATTTAAATACTTGGGATGCTTGGGTAACCAAACGTGGGATCTAGATCAGGAGATCAAATGCAGGATCGAGCAAGCAAGAACTATTTTTCTAAAACTTCGAAGGTTCCTCACAGATAGGAACTTGAACTTCGGCCTTAGATACAGAATGGTGAATGGTGTGAATGGTGATGTCTGGTCCGTTTTGTTATATGGTGTGGAAGCATGGACACTGAAGGTAGCAACAATAAACAGAATTAAAACCTTCGAATTGTGGACCCTACGACGAATGCTAAGTATCCTGGGTCGACCGTGTTAGGAATGAAGGTATTCTCCGAAGAGCTGATCTAGAAGAACGTGAACTCTTCGAAATCATCAAGAAGAGGAAAATGGACTATTTGGGACAATACTACACGGAGAACGTTATCACTTTCAGGGCCTAATTCTCCAGGGTAAAATCGAGGGGGGGGAAAAGGCGAATAGGCCGAAGGAAGTTATCCTGGCTGAGAAATATTCGTTATTGGACAGGCATACAGGACTTCCAAGCACTCCAATTCGCTGCAATTAATAGAACCATCTGATGAGGAAGAAAAAGATGAACGCCTACGCTGGAATCTGCACGGCACCTTAAGAAGAAGATGTTTTGTGTATATTTAAGAAAAATAATAGTAAAAAACTATCCATATAGACGAATGACCCAATGTATGACCAATAATAGTACCTTAAAATATAAATATTATATTTTAAGGTACTTATTTTGTTTGCACCCAATTATTGTTCCGATAATAAGTAGTAATATAATAAATGTAATACTTTTCAGAAAACATACATCAAAAAATTAACATACCTAATTCTATATTTGTAATTTATCACTATAATAATACTATTATTATTTTATTCGTTACTGTAGTGAGATATCTTTCCTGTTTAGTTACTTAGAATAATTTTATCGATAATAGATATGCACTTTAAAAATATTTAATAACAACTTATTTGAAATCCTATTGCAAATATTTGTTTGTTTTTTTTTTCATTTTCAGAGATAAAGAAACTCAAAAACAAGCTAATCGTATTTTTTTAAAAAACTGAATGGTTTCAAATTATACTCAGAAAATATTGTTATAAACACTTTTAATTCAAATCGTAGAAAAATATATTTAAGTTTATACAAGCTTTTATTTAATCTGAAATATTCTTATTAGGGTTTCCGGAACCGGCGCTAGTTTTCAGAACCGGGAATTTCGCTACCACGCCTCTTAGGAACCGGAATTTCCCGGTTTTTTCGGTACTTTCGGTACTGACTAATTTTTGTTCAGTGGTGGTGCAGTTCATCAATCAGAAAGCAAGTGATGGTTTTTTGAAAGTAAAATGGATAACAAATTGAGATTTTTAATTAAAATAATATCAAATTATTAAGTAATCAGTCGTTAATAAATTAGCATTAGCTTGAACACAAACATGAACACAAGTAAAGAAAAAACGATAGGTAACTTAAAAAGCCCTAAAATATTGAATTAAAAATGCAAATATCTATTAAAACATAACATAATAAATATTATAGAAACTTCAAAAGGGTAAAGAAGCAAGAACAATAAGAAATAGCATCATTACTTATTTAGAAGAGTTGATTTCGGACCGCTAGAAAGTATCAAAGGACAATCTCACGTAACAAAAAAATATGTGTTTTAATTATTGTTACCGAGGCCCAGTTCTGTGATGGCCCAAAAGATCTGAACCCTAATTGGTAGTATTAATTAGAGTTTCCGGAACCGTACTAAAATATTTTCGTTCAATGATTGTGAACTCCACAATCAATTCAATTAGCAAGCAAGGGATTGTTCTCAAAAATAAATTATTAAGTTATGAAAAAGTAAACAAGAACACAAATAATGAACACAAGCGAAAAAAAAAGAAAACACATAGGTAGCTTAAAAATTACATCAAACAACATTAACCAACCTCGAAACCAACTTAACTAAATTTGAAAAAAAAACTTAACATTTTCAATTAAAGATGCAAACACTGTTCGGTTTTTATATGATCCAAAATAAAAAATATATAAATTGTAAAATTAGTAATTTTTTAATGGCCATAATACGTTCTTTCAAAATCATCGAACAACTAAATCATTTCCATAGATCGAGTGACGTACCGTGACTTTGAATTTTGAGACCAAAAAACTGAAACAATAATTTGTCAAAAAAATCTATATTACAGCTATATTGTTTTATTTTGCATAAAAATGTTAACTAATAGAGTTAGAATAATTATAATTCTTCCCTAACTAAGTGGTTTTATCGCTAAATTTAACTAAAGCTAAGTACAACACAAATCTTAAATACGTGGACTATTATAATAACAAATACATCCTAAAAGACTATTTTGGTAGCATTCTGAACTAGAATTCAAGTTAAATATTTTAGAAAATAATTTAAAGGAAAAATGTTAATTCACTTAATATTAATTTTTGCATACTGCTCAGATTTATCTGGTCTTCTATTATATATTTTGGAAATTAGAGAATTACCTGAAGATTTTCATCTAAAAATTGGTATTGATAGTGGTGGTGGATCACTTATAGTTTGTCTGAATGTGCTCCCTGAAAATGATCCCGAATATTTCAAGAAATATAAAAGTGCTGGAATTAATAAACTATTCATAATTGGCTTAGAACCAAAGTTGTCTGAATCTTATGCTAACATTAAAAGCATCTTTGAGACGTTAGATCTGCAGTCCATATGTGGAATTTGTTCCTATACTTTTGCCGCTGACTTTAAGCTTATTATGATTCTCCTTGGTCTTCAGTCAAATTCATCCACTCACGCTTGCCCATGGTGTGATGTAAATGTAAAGGAAATGGAAATTAAAGGATCATTCAGAACTATAAAAAGTATTACAGAAAATACAAATTTATGGCAACAATCTGGAGGAAATATAACAAAAGCCAAAGATTTTATTAAGCGTTTTTGTTTGAAATATTTTTTTTTGTATTTTTTAAACTGTTGTTCAATGAACTATATAAAAAAGGGCAATTATTTTTTAGAAAACTGTAGAAACATACCTTTAATCATTGGCGACGAAGAAACACCTGTCTTAAAGTATATTCCCTCTCCTGAGCTTCACCTTTTGTTAGGTGTGGTTCAAAAACTATTTGATTGTCTTGAATTGGAGAATACCAATATTGGAACAGAATGGATAAAAAAAAGCGGGATTGAAACTAGATCATTATGGAAAATGTAACGGAAATAACGCCAGACAACTTTTAAAGAAAGTGGATATTTTGAAGACGATATCGCCCGGTAAAGAATCCTATTCAAAGTTTTTAGAAGCAAAAACCTAAACATATTTTTTTAGGAATAAAATATATTGCAGTGTTTTCTGCATTCAATCAAGTAGTTTCGAGTTGTTTGGTCAAGCACCAAACAAACATTTTGAACATGACATCGAACAATTTAGATTGGAAATACTCAACTTAGGTATTAAGATAACTCCAAAGATTCATGCAATTCTGCATCATGTACCAGAGTTTATAAAAGCAAATCATAGAGCTCTAGGATTTTACTCGGAACAAGCATCTGAGCAGGTTCATTTTTCCTTTAAATTATTTTCTAAAAAGTTTAACTTGAATCCTCGTTCAGAATGCTACCAAAATAGTCTTTTACGATGTATTTGTAGTTATAATATTCCACGTATTTAAGATTTGTGTTGTACTTAGCTTTAGTTAAATTTAGCGATAAAACCACTTAGTTAGGAAAGAAATATAATTATTCTAACTTATTAGTTAACATTTTTATGCAAAATAAAACATATAGCTGTAATATGATTTTTTTGACAAATTATTTGTTACAGTTTTTGGTCTCAAAATTCAAAGTCACGGTACGTCACTGGATCTATGGAAATGATTTAGTTGTTCGATGATTTTGAAGAAAGAACGCATTATGGCCATTAAAAAAATTACTATTTTTACAATTTATATATTTTTTATTTTGAATCATATAAAAACCGAACAGTGCAAATGCCTAAAAAAAACATAACACAAAAAAATAACTAATACATTCAGCAATATTATGCTAAATAATAAAATAACATATTTAAACTTCAATAATTGCTAATAAACATTATAGAAACTTCAAATAACTTCAGAAGTAAGAACAGTAAAAGATAGCTTCATTACTTATTTAGAACAGTTTGATTTCAACCGCTAGAAAGTATCATAAGTCCTTCGCACGTAACAAAAAATATGTTTTTAATTATTATTACCCAGTCCCGAAAAGAATTTGGAATTAATAATTTCGAGTCCCGGTTCTTTTGATGTCTCAAAGAAACCGGGAATTCCCAGATCTTTTCGGTACCGGATTTCAGTTCAGAACCCTAGTTCGTATCTATGTAAATTGTTCAAAAATTCGCAAAGAATTCTTCAATTACCTCATCCGATTCTTATAAAACTTTACATATACACTGAGTTCACGTGACAATACAACATTATGATCATTGCAATCAACACAATCCTTAGACATACTTTAAGGTTATAAATGTCAATTTCCTGGAACTTTTCTGTGGTACTGCAAACGCAATAATTACAAGAACACAAGAATTATAACAAAATAATAGTTTGCCAACAAATCACTGAAATGGTGGAAAAAGTGACCTGGACAAAAGCAGGTGACAAAATTCATAGTAAAACACTCACCAAAATTTAAAAAATTAATACAGCCAGGTTATTAGACTTTGTGTAAAGAATACGACTGCCATAGACTTAAAATAAAATATAGACTACACTATTTACATCTCAACGCGGTCAAACAATCTTTTTTGTACACATGTTTACTTCTGGGTACAGTCGACCGAGCCTTCCTCATCTAGCCTATGTTGTCACGTCTTTAATATTATCAATATTTTTTTTCTTGTTATACACATAATATATTGAGATATTAATACTAGGTACAGTTTAATAAAGTAGGTTTTAATATTCCATAGATGTATTAAATAGTCCTTATACTACTAAATTATAAGTCGGATACTGTTTAAAAAGGATAAGTTCTTTACAATATGACAACACCGATTAGAAGCGAGGGAGCCTATTCATTCATTTATTACCTTGTAGTACGCGTCGCACGTGTGCGGTAAAGCTTTGTTGCCGCTATATCCCCGGCTGTATTAACGCATTTTCTTAGCTTGTAGTCTTTAATTGTTTATTTTATTGACTTTTTCTGTTCAAGAACTATAAAATATGGTTCGTCAGTGCCAAATTTGCAAGAAATTTGACTTAAATAATCCATTTAAGTCTTGAAACAACTTTCGACCGGTAGGCAACTCTCAATTTACCCATTGGGAGTCAGTGGCGTTGTTGTAGAAAGGCGCTTATTTAGATAATATTTTAGTAAAATGTAAAATCTGAATTTTTTCTCTTATATTACATTATTTACTTACTTACATTGTAACAAAATCATAATTATAACCCTGTTAATAATTAATAATGTTTTTATTAAAAATATATTCCGGTTTATTCTAAAATTATCTTCAGAATCTAAAATAACATACAAGAATTTTAATATGATATTACATTATGAGACAATATTTTTTAATATACCGGGTCGTCTCAAAAGTGGTTCACCGCTATAACTTTTTTATTTTTTCAGATAAAAAAACAGATTTGTATGTTAGTAGGTATATGACATAAATTAGGATTTATTGACGTATTCAATTGTTTTTGGTCTCTTTCTGTTTCACCGAAATGATTACATCTTTTGATTTTTAAAGGCACCCTCGGTATATTTCTACTTTATTCGATAGAAAATGATAATAGAATTCTGAATAGAATGACATATCATATGTCAACTTTTGACATTGTCGCTTAAAAACAAATCGTATTATAAATTTCAATCCAGGGTGCCATGGTGTTGTTAAAAACACTAAGTTTTAATCAAGGAGCCTTGGAAAAATAGTTTTGATCGTCTAATGGGTTTCGTGTCTTGTCTAGGCCGATTAAAAGATGTACAAATCATATTTTTAATCATACATATGTCAATTTTTTCAAATGGAACAAGGGTGACTCGTTAGCATATTTGGAAAAAGCATTTTTTTATGAATATATTGATACCACACACTTGGTATTTCGAGTCAAATTGTCGTTATGAACCACGTGTTACAATTACAATTAAACCATATGCGAAAGTGTCAAAAGTTGACATATGATATGTCATTCTATTCAGAGTGTCATTTTCTATCAAATAAAGTAGAAATATACCGAGGGTGCCGTTTAAAAATTAAAAGTTATAGTCATTTCCGGTGAAACAGAAAGTGACCAAAAACAATTGAATGCGTCAATCAATCCTAATTTATGTCATATACTAACATACTAAATCTTGTTTTTTTATTTGAAAATATAAAAAAATTATGGGGTTGAGCCACTTTTGGGACGCACCCGGTATAATAAAGACAGTACCGAGTTAAATAAATGTAGTTTTCATTTTATCCCCTTCCTATCACCTTCCTTGCTTTAATGGAACAGATTTATGTTTTCTCTATTTTACATAATAAGACATCATTAACCAGAAAAAAATTACAACAATCATATTTTTTTTCTCTCCCTGTCGCCGATTCTATTATATCTGTGGAATAGATCCTGTTTTGATTAATATTAGGGGTTGTAAATGTTTGACTAAAATTAATAATTTATTATTAATTTCAAAAATTACGTAATATCGATTATAAAATTTCTTCTATAACGTGTATTTTATTATTTTTATCCTTTTTGGTCTCTAAGACTTTTTTAAACTTACTTTTTGGTCTCTAAAACTTTTATTTAAAAAACCTGTCCTAAATCTTAATAAAATATAAAAAAAGTTTAAATACGATATATTTTTCATTTAATTATAGCTTCATTAAAATAAAAAAATTACACGGCTATGATACGGAGAGTTCAGGTGTACTTGAGAAACGAAAGACAGTGTTGTGTTTCTCGGCAGAGTCGTCAGAGAACGACCGTTACGACAGAGATAACCTATCTATCGCTCGTGTCGCACTCGTTATAACCTAAAACAATAACACAACAATAACAAGACATTGTCTGACCGCATGTTCCAGCTATTTATAAATGAGATGCTCAGTCTATATTTTATTTTAAGTCTATGACGACTGCAGACTGGAGAATATAATCTAGGGAATTAGAGAACTTTAAAAGATCTAAAAAGTAGAATAAGAGAAAAACCATCTTTAAGTCCAAAGCAAGACTTTGGACGTAAACTACCAAATGTCTTACATTGTTATTTTTTATTACACGTTCTAGAGGCGTATTTTTACTATTAATTTATTTTTTTCGTTTCAGAGATAAGCAAACTCAAAAGCAAGCTTCCTACATCGAAAAAACTCTGGATATTTTGGGATTGAACTCGGAAAATTCAACGTCTCCACCATCTTGTTCCTATTATTCCATTTTAGTGGTGGCAACATCGACGATAGTATTCGTTTTGTCCATGGTGTGCACGAAGAAGTTGCTGGACTATTTTCGAGAAGAACACCGAATATTTTCAGAGATGGCCGGCGATTTTCCGAAAAAATGTCCTTGTTTCGATAAAGATTAGAATTTTGAATAAAAATTTTAGTATTTCATACTATTGTTTCAATATTCTGGAATTATATAAAGTGTATTTATAGTCAAAAAATTGACAATAGCTCTCATAGCACATATGACAGCTAAACTAAGAGAATAATAATTCCAAAATTATGCCAAAAATACCGATAGTTATTGAAAGAAAAACTAAAAACTTCTAAATACGAACAAATATTTATGTTACTTTATGTTATTTTGTCGACTTTTATTAATAATTGTTCGCAAATTTGTTTGTTGGCTTTTACTAACAATTTCAGTTGTTAGTGAGAGTAATATTTACTAAAACAGATCAATAAAATCTCAATGACTTGAGTACAAAAACGAAACTTGCAGTGTACCGAGCAATTATAATCCCCAACATGTTAGATGGGAGCGAAACCTGGGTGCCGTACCGCCGACACATGAACGCATTAAACAAGTTGCAACAGAGACACCTTAGACAACTCTTAAGAATCCGGTGGTTCCATCATGTCTCAAACGTATCGGTCCTGGAAAAAGCTAACTGCGAGAGTATTGAAGTTATGGTTACAAAATCCCGCTTAACATGAGCTGGTCACGTATGCAGAATGCAAGAAAACCGCATACAAAAATATCTGCTTTACGGTGAGCTTGCAGACGGTAAGAGGAGGTCGGGTGGACAACAGAAAAGGAAAAAGGACATTTTCCACGAAAACTTAAAGGGGATTAACATGCAGAATGAGTGGGAAAAAGCAGCTCACAATAGAACTCAATGGAGAAGAATTGTAAACTCTGTTAACAGCGACAACAAAAAAGTAAAGAGGCAACAAAGCAATGAGATTTTTGAATGTCCGGAATGCTGTAGGCAGATAACATCACGTATCGGGCTTTTCAGTCACAGAAAAGTTCATGAAAGAAAACGCCTTGCGTGACCATCTTCTGACGTGTGTTGAATACTCATCAGCGAGTAATGGCAGTTTGTATGTAACCACAATAGCGCCTCTACCGAGTAACTGAATATCAATCGTCACGAAATTGAGCAAGTTTGTTTTGATTACTTTGGTTTCAATCCTTTTTTTTTCGTTATTTAAAAAAATGTTATTGCTCTGAACGTCTTGATTTTAAAATCGAGCCAGCTGCTCAATTTTAAAATTGAGTCGGCTGAACAATAAGTTATGGGCAGCTGCTAGAAGATAGTCAAAAAGCAAAGCAAATTTGAATGCTAGCATTCACTACACAGCTCCAGTGAATGTTAAAATTCACTAGTAAAAGTTCAAGACTAGTTGTTGCACTTTTACTGGCGCAATGTTAGCAAATCAGTGAATGTGAGCTTTTACTAGTAATTGTTAACATTGGCTAATTTCTGACTTTGACTGTAAACATATACGAATTACTAATTTCTGACTTTGACTGTAAACATATACGAATTACTAGACTATCATATATTTTTGAAACCTCTTTCTAAGCTTTACCATTATCTCACTCTAATTCAAGTCTTGACATAATGTATTTTCAAATTCGTAGGGACACATTGCGTTTAACCAATAATTATAAAATATACAAAAAATAATATAGAATGCACTCAGAAATGGTTAACAAATCCCTAAAAGTTCACGTTCAAATCAAATTTAAATGTGCCAAAAAACTTTAAATTTGAAACGTCGAACAAATCTGTCAAAAATGACCGTCTCGTGACGTCAAATACCTGTTTAATGCATGCATATACCGGGTGCGTCTCAAAAGTGGCCTACCGCCTATAACTTTTTTATTTTTTCAGATAACAAAACGAGATTTGGTGTGTTTGTATATGACATAAATTAGAATTGATTGACCAAATCAATTGTGTTTGATCACTTCCTGTGTCACCGGAGATGAATACAACTTTTGATTTTTAAATGGCACCCTCGGTATATTTCTACTTTATACTACCCTTGTTCCATTTGAAAAAAATAACATATGATTAAAAATACGATTTGGCCATTTTTTAACCGGCCAGGACGCATATTCGGAATTCGCCGACACATTAGCCGCTCGGGATAGTTCGGGCACAAAATAGAAATCAACCAGAAGGTTGACTCCCAAAATGCGCTCAAAACGGTGGCTAACCTAAAAATTCCATTATGAGCGGGTAACATCTGTCAATGTAGCGGCGTTATCGGTTTAGTCAGGGCAGGTCAGGATTTAGTAGAATTCTGACTATCGTAGAAGACAGCAGCTGTTCGTAGCGTCGAGTCCATTGAGTTATCTATACAAACTTTACCTTTCGAAATAACGTATTACGCTCAGTCTGTAATCACATATCAGATAATAAAAATACTTATTCAATATAACTCTGACAACAGCCTGCGAAAGCGTTTTAATCCGGCCCTGAGAGTTACCCGCTGCTAATATGGCGTCGCGATTCGTGAAACGTCATCAAATTCGGCAGAGTCGGCGTTCTGGTTGATTTCTATTTTGTGGTTCGGGTGCTGCGTAAAGTACCGACGTATTAGACTAATACGTCGGCGATTTACGATGCGCTCTAAATATTGTTTCTTTCTTCGCAAGTTTGTAAATAGGATTAATTTAATCTGCGTCTGTAATGGGTATTCGTAATTTTTTATGGTCAATCAGTAATCGTCTGTATTGGTTTTCATTGTTTTCCAGTGATTAGCACTTTTCGAGCAGATTGCTAATTCAAAGACATGGATTTTAAGAGATTACCAACTGTACCTGATAAATAAATAGGTAGTCTCCAATAAACTGAGGTTGCAGATTACTGATAAGAACAGATTTTAGATATGTTGCTTTCTGCAGAGAAATTAAATAATAACAATAATATTATTAATATATCATTATTAATACAAAATAAATAGTAATAGCACAGATAACATGCTTTTGTTTATACTGCGCAAAAGTCTTATGAGCTTTCATGTGAATGCTAGATATACCATACGATCGAAAAAAATGGCGTCAGAGTTGGCTTGGAAATAAAGATAGCTGTCATTTTGTATGTAAAATTATATAAGAAATGTCAATGATCGTCATTTCCAAACCAACTAGACGCTGTTTTTTTTTCGATCATACGGTACTTGCGATAAGTCTTAAAACTTAACATACCTTTTATTAAGGCTTCAATCATTCTATTATCGGCATGGAAACTTAGAACTGGTTAGCGAGTAAATTTTAGTTTATTTTTATTTTATTATAGAATGGATGTTGATGCCTTGATAAATGTTAGTGTAGAATGGATGTTGATGCCTTGATGAATGAATGCCTTGATAAATGTTAGAAGAGAAATTTTTGAAAGTTTCAAAAACATTTTAAGATTGGCTTTGAGACTGTGTCTAATAAGCATTTAAGAGATTTTATTACTGCCATTTTGATGGCTAACAAAAGAAAAATAGGGAAGTGAGCCGCAAAAGAACTTCGCGAAATATAGACTGTCCAGTAAAATTATTACCTAGTAACAATCAAATAATAATTTCTTCTAGACACAAAATTAAAAAGATATGGGATTAGGAGGTAATAAATTCAAAAAATAAAAATATGTCTTAATTTTTTATAAATATATATTTTTTTTGATAATATGTTTTTCTTAGACCTTTGTTTAGTAATTTCTATAAACAGAGTAACCATTTAACCATTAATAATTTATCTAACAGATAGTATTGTTTTTTAAGTTAACAAAATTTTAGTTATTTTATAATTTTATAATTTTGTACTAAAAATGACAAATTGTAAATTGCTTCATAAAATTTTTGAAAATCATATTGCTTATTTTAAATGTATAACAACGTATAAAGTTGAATTTTAGTATCGGAGATAATTTCTGTTCAAGTCTGTATTGTATAATTTTCTAACAGTTCTCGATTTACCATAACCTATACTGTAATGCAATATGTAGTCAACAGTATTTCGTTTTCGTAAATCACCGACGCATAAGGGTTGGGACTAGTCTAATACGTCGGTACTTTAGCAACCGTCCGTCGCTATACCCGACCTAATCCGAGCGGCTAATGTGTCGGCGAATTACGAATATGCGGCCAGGACAAGACACGAAAAATATTAGACGATCAAAACTATATTTCCAAGGCTCCTTAATTAAAAATTAGTGTTTTTAACATAGACATGACATATGACACTCAATTGAAATTTAAAATACGATTTATTTTAAGCGAAAATGTCAAAAGTTGACATATGCTATGTCATTTTACTCAGGGTGTCATTTTCTAGCGAATAAAGTAGAAATATACCAAGGGTGTCATTTAAAAATCAAAAGTTGTAGTCATTTCCTGCAAAACAGGAAGTAACCAAAATCAACTAACTACGTCAATCAATCCTAATTTATGTCATATACTAACATACCAACTCTAGTTTTTTCATGTGAAAAAATAAAAAGTTATAGGGATGAGCCACTTTCGAGACGCACCCGGTATATAAAAATAATATTGAGCTCCTTACTTAGTCCTATTATTCAATGTTTCTTTTATTACTAATAATTTCATTTATTGTTTGCAATATCTGAATATATTAATTATTTAAGTTTGCATGCAAAAATAAACGCATTGATACCAGAAAATACCGTCATTCTCTTTGTAGTCTGTTGGTTTTATCTTTATTGTACATCATTGTCATCCAGGTAAGAATTCGTATTGTTGGTATTGTCCACAAATGTCAAATACCAGTTTATCTAATAAGTGAACGGTATAGTTACGTTTTACGTTTACGTTAATTACGTTAATTTTATACACTCAGTGAATTTAATAAAGTATACAATTTCTCAAGATATGCACTTCATTAAGCAGACACTCCAACATATCTGATTATATAAACATTTAATCTTAGAGTAAGGTCAAAAATTCAATCCACTTCAGACCAATCAAATTCAATGTAGCCATGTCAATTAATGTAGTTTTATGCATATATATTGCACAATTAACTATTATTCTTAAATAAAAAAGAGGTAAAGAGTACCTATTTCTATTGTCTTTATTTGTTAGATACAACTAATATTGTCAATCATACTTTGTCATTGCCTGCTACGTTAAATACAAAACATTTTATATTCACAGTCTCATTTCTTAATCACTAGAGAAGATAAAGTTATTGATTACCTGGGAGAAAAACCAGCATTATGTTCCACTTCCATTTCCTTACTTCAAAACTCACTTTTACAGTTTAAAAATTTGAAAAACTTTCTTTTGATGATGTCTTTTAAGACTAAAGATTAAGACTAAAAGAATAGAAACCTTCAAAATGATCGTTTTGTGGAAAAGATAACGATCATCTGGTACTTTGCTTGTTATCTTATCTATATTACGTTTTCAAAATTTAATTATTTAGGTTTGCATTGATGTAGGGGAAGCCTTATGCTGACGAGCGCTATATTTTAAGAAATGTATAATTGACTGAGTTTTGGGAATTCTGTAGATAGATTGATAAAAAAAACATAATATTTACTTTTAATTATAACTTTCTTCCTCTTTGAATCATTTTTATTATGAAGATATTAGTGGGAAAAGATGAATTGGTGTGTACTATCTTTAAGAAAAGAAAAAATTCACAGATTTTGCAACATGCGCAACCATCATAGGCGTATTGAAAATACCAGACACAAGTCGGCGGTTGTCGGCAATCACCTGTTTTTTTTTACATTTTATATTAATTTGTGACGTCATTTGAAAGAGCTCAATAGAAATATAAAAAAATAAACCTTGTTTGAAAAGCAATTTGACATTCGTCACGTCAACACTCCGGCAGTCTATGGTGCGTCCAGACCTGACGAGCCGAGCGCGAGACGAGAGCAAGACAAGAGCGAGACGAGAGCGAGACATTTTCTATCCATTTTTTACGCAAACCTGCCACGAGACAAGCCGAGTGGAATCATATTGAAAGGAAGCCAAGCGATGGCCAAATAATAACGCACACAGTAATACATTTTTGTATCTTTAATATGGTATTCGGTCTTTAACATGGTATTCATCGTCGGTTTTCCCCCTTTTGGCTGTTTTCCCCTTTATCCCTTACACGACGTTTTTTACATAATACGTTTTTTAATGTTTTTAGAACAAAATGTTAAATAGAAAAGTTATTGGTAAGGGTAAGAAGCACATTTTAACATTACTATAGAGTATACAGGGTACTTCAAAAAAGTGTTGCGGATATAACATATTTTCTAATGGGAATACCCTAAAGAATTAATTGCATTAATTTGCAATAGCACCTCGAACCCACAGTTTTGTTATGGAGCCAGATTAAACCAATCAGAATGAGTATTATGTTTCCGTAAAAGCCCGAATATTGGTTAAACGTAGAGTTGCCCACGAAGAAAGCCCGAAATATACCAAAAAGTGGGTCAGTTTCGGTTAAGTTTAGATTAGGTCTATATTTTTATTAATTCAAAACCAACTAAAACCTAATTCTAATCTAACCTAAACTCACCCCTTCTTTTGCATATTTTCGGCTATTACCTGGGTATTCCTAGGTTTAACTAATATTCAAACTTATGGAGGGCCCATAAATTTAAATTCGCCGTACAACAAAATTTCACCAATTTTCTCAATAAAAATTAAAAGTTATTAATCATACTATTTTTTATAGAAATTATGGAATAAGGATGAACTGGGTGCCGGTAGACCAAGAAGATACTTGGAATCTAAGTGTTAATTTATACTCGAATTGAGTTGCCTCACAGTATAGGCATATTTTGAACCCTTACACGGTGCCCTTACCGTGCATAGTTACTGTAGATAAAAATAAATTAAAATATAGTTGGCTCCAACGATAATTTAGTTTGCAGCTTCTTTTCATCATACCTAATAAAAAAACCGTGACAACCACTACTTATAGTATGTACCTACATACGTATTTTTAAACATCATTAAGAGATTTAAGTATAAAAAGGTGCCCATAATGTGAGTAGCGGTATTGACGGTTTTTTGTTATGAGGAAAATAAGCAGCAAAATATATTATCGACTGCAGCAACTATGGATTCCTAGTTTACATTCAGTATGTCCAATTAATATGGAATATTATACCTATACATGCTTTTAAACATTTTTTACCATTATATTTTGATAGTTGAGTTTTTGAAATTATTTGTTAGCTTCTTAAACAAAACAGACCCATAATAATTCAAATCTTTATCATCCAAGACTTTCAAGAATTATGAAGTAATCTCACGTCAAATTTTTTTAAAGTTATTGCATGCCTTAAGTATTTGCATAGTTAACATAAATATTTCTTTGCATACCTTGCAATTAATATATTTGGTCTAATTTATCAGTTCTGCATCATATCCGAAATTCAGATTGTGTGTCAGATTGTGTGTGACACAACGAAGAGTGAACGTGCAACGTGAAAGACAAGAAAAATGGCAAGTAAAAAAAATTTAAAATTTTAATTACTAATTACACAGTCCTTCCCTTGAGTTCTTCTGCCTAAAATCTATATTGCCTTCCCTAAGATTTTAAATATAAATGATTGAAATTCATAACAAGTTTACCACAATTTAAACTTAAGATAATTATTTAATTATTAAATCCATAATTATATTAAAAAATAACACTTACGAAGTTAATAAATATTAACTATTTCTAGTTAATCATTTAATAATTATTCTGATAAAAAAAACACGCTGGATTTTTTATTTTAGAAATCATACAGGCTATAATCATTAATATGACTGTATTAACAATACTTAAATTAAAATTTATTTGAAGGAATGCTACTTGAAGTATTAACTCGGAATAATTATTAAAAACTGTTCATCGCGTTATCGATATCGGCGTCTTGTGACTGTTGTCTGGCTGATTGGCCGTTTAGGTACCTATAGTTTGATTTCAGATAATGCAGATTTTAAGGTGCCATTTGTGGTTTTTTATTGAAATTTTTTTACATATTTGGTATACTCTATGAAGTGCTCATGTCCATTTTTCAATTATTAAAGTGCCTATTTAGATACATTTAAATTAATTAATTAGTGTATAGTAATTGAATTATGGGTTTGTTTATTTTTTATGAAATGTATTTTTTTTTCTATTAAAATAAACATAGCTTTACCCTTGCATATACAAGGGCTTTACTTACAAACTCGCTAGCTAGCCATTTTTAAATACAGGCTGTTAATTAAGTATCTGGCCAACTTCAGAAGGTGATTCTTCGTGTTTTTAAGGTAAAAAGTAACATGTATCCGAAAATGCATAATTTTAAAGATACAGGGGGTCAAGTCCTAATAGACATTTTTTTATTAATATTTCAAAGATCCGTTGGCTGATTTTGTTGAAATTTCGCCGTGTTGTGAATTTTGATAAGTTAGCACTAATTAAATGATAATAATTATTATTTACAACAATATTCAAACGGTAAAAACTTATCAACTTATCTCAATAAATATTTGACAACGCCTTGGATTCATTTGTTTTAACGCCTGTTGGCGGTGGAAACCATGCAAGCTTTTTCTTTGTCCTAAGTTGATAATTAAAAAAATAATACTCATATAAAAAAATGTGGTAATTAGTCTAAATTTATTATTTATGTGATTCTGCTCTTTCTCGTATAATTTGTCCCTTGTTTCTCATACGGAAATAGTTAGATTAAAATAGCCAAACTGTACCTAACAACCCATGCCTTGACATATTTTCTTTTAAAATAATATCGCTTTCTTTATCCGCCGGTCCAGACTCGACTTTGCCATATTCGCTCATCAACGCCGGCTCTATCAACTTAAGTACGTGTTGACAGGCAGGTTATTGAACCCATGTTGCTTCTAGCATGTCGTTTTTTCAAAGATGGGTCCCATATAAACGCCATATATGACAGCCATATGTCCTGTCAAGAGATGTTTTATAAATCCGCATTTTATTCCGTTTGAGTCTTTGGTCCTTATTGGTTTTAGAATTAGGTCCTTTAGGGTTTAGTTTACATAATACTGGAAACGTTGTGTAAGTTAAAATAAAAAAAAATACATTGAAGCCAAAAATTTTTTAGTATCAAATGTAATGATTATGTGTTACTTCTATTAGAAGGTAAAACTTGAAGAAAAAGATATATGTATGTCCCTACAAAATAGAACATTTAATGCAGCTAATAATGTACAGGTTGTCACTAAAAATATATTTTCTATTTATGTAATATGAAATTATTTAAAACATTTTTGTTATTTACTCATTCTTAAAATACTTCTCTCTATTACACACATTTACGTTTTTTATAGAAAGAAATTATCACCATCCGTTTCAGGAAAATCATTTAAGCGTATTGTATATTGATGCAACCGAAGAAATCCAGGGTCGATGATTTCCATAATCGCTAAATGATGCATAGAATAGTTTTCTTTGTCAATTGATAGCATATTTAGTAGTAAAGTAACGTACAAGATATAACAAATGAACAGTTATGATACTCGTTTAACTGCTGTTTCTTGCAAACGTGATTGTTATTAGATATAGTTAAAACATTACTAAGAAAGAGTATCTTTCACTAATTTCAATAAATATTTACATTATTCAGTATTTAACTGACAATAACTGTACGCTAACAGGCAGCTAGGTTTTGCACAACCTACTAACAATTATTGTTATGGTACGTATACATTTAGTCCGGCAGCCGCTGGGGTAAACCCAAAATTTTGGGATTAAGTTTTTTTGAAAACGGATTTATCATCTATAGGTGTCCTACTTTTGATATCCGAGTGATGACAAAGTGGCATCTTTGGGGAAATTAAGATACAGGGTGATTTACTATCAATTATGTGAAATCGAGTGTTATTCGAGTTATCGAGGTATTTTGTTTGTTTTTAACGTGAAAAAATGTGTTTTACATTGATTTATTTAATAATGTAGGTTTTTTTCATATATGTATAAGTGATAACGAAACATCTTATATACAGGGTGATTAAAAAAAACATAATATATTTTCACGTTGATTGAAGGTAAAGCGAAAAATTCAATTTTTGCATTTTGTATACTTTGTAGGTATTTATATACGTAATGTATGAGTAAACGTATGAGTAAACCTCATAACGTAGTCCATAAAGCTACATGGAAATCGCCAGATGGGCACACAACAAACCAAATTGATCACTTTTTAATTAGCCGGAAGTGGAGAAACTCACTTTTTGATCTAAGAGCGTACAGAGGAGCAGACATTAACAGTGATCATTATCTACTGATTGCTCAAATAAAATTAAAAATTGCAAAGATTCGGAAAACACAACCGCTAAGACGTAAATTCGATCTTCGTCGACTGGCTTC